ATGTCAGGTGAAAAACCATATGCAGATGATTAATTGCTCCCCAGTGCTGTGGGACCTAAAAGACGAGTGAATCTCAGAGCCAAGGGCTGACGTGGAAGCTGGCCTCAGAAAGGCAAGGAGCATTCACTGGAAACAAGGAAAGGCATTCCAGGTCAGGGAAGGATCAGATCAGGGCAAGGGTGGGGGGCCTCCCTGTTTGGTGTCTGGTGGCCTTCCAAGCAGCTCACTGAAAGAGATTTTCTTAGGTGGGGTGTCAGAGGAAAAAGGAGATCTTCAAGGCCATTCCGTTCATCTTTCTGACTCCAGGTGGGAAACACCTGTCCAGTGTCCAGGTCCCTAGGGAGCCTCTAAGTGCTTGTCCACTATTCAGCCCCTCTGGGAAGCAAGTCACCCTAGGCCCCGGTGCGGGGGGGGAGGGGGGGAGGAAGGGTTCTTTTTTTTTTTTTTTTGGTATTAGCTGACGTGGCTCATTCTCCCAGGTATAGAGTAAAGCCAGTAGACTGAACCAGGTGTCCAGGCCCAAGCCACACCATTGGATGGGACTGGACAGGCCAACCCTGGAACAGCTCTGCCCAGCAGGGCTGCACTATACTGAATGGCAATAAACTGATCTAATCAGATTGTCTTTCAGGGAAAGCAGGGACGCGTGGCGAACATGAGGAAGTGGGCCAGTTCAGCTTGGTGTATCCTGGGGAAACGGACCCCTTATTCTAGTGTCTCATGAGGCTGGCCAACAACCCAGTCTACTACAATCTGTGGGCCTCAGAGAGGCCGCTGGGCTGAAGAGGGGACAGCCCATCTCCCCCATAGCCTGGCATTTGCCTTCTCTCCATGCCTGAAGGCACTTCTTCCCCAGGGCTCCTTAAAGATGGCAGGCCTGAGCCCAAGGCTTAGGAAGAAGGGTCTGGGGAAGGGTCAGGCCTGCAGGAATGGAGCCCAGGGATGGGGAGAGGAATGGCCTCCTCTATCCACAGCTGGCTTCTTTTGTCCCCACGTGTTCCCCACGCCAGACTGCTTCTGAACGTGCCCTGAGCTTTTGACCCACACGGAGCCCTGGCCAGGTCGACAAGATCCAAAAATTCTTTGGGCCTGGCCTGAGAGAGGATACCACAGACCCTACCCGTAGCCTGGCCAGCCCTGAAGTAGGGCAGAGTCTCTTGTTTCGTTCCATTGCCATGAGAATGTATCTTGATTTGCGAGCCAACTCAACCTCACATACTTTGTAGCATTTGCTCTGCTCAATCCTCCAGTTACTCTTTGGGAAATGAGGAAACAGAACTCAGGGAGGTTATCTGCTGGGGTTCAAGGTCAAAGCGGACTAAGGACTGGAAGGCAAGCTGCCTGAGCTGATCTTTGGCCCCAGGCTCTTCTCACGAGTACACTGCTCCTGCAGAAAGAGAGATCGCTCTACTCCTTCAGGGCAGCTTCCTGGCACTCTGCCTGAACCCCTGAACCCCAGCTCAGGATCGTTAACATTAACTAAAGCCTCCTGATACCTCTCCAGCAAGTGCCGAGCATGGACTGACCCAAGAGTCTGAGATCAGGGAAACTACCCTCCAGATCTTACAGGCGAAAGGGGGGCATTCAGAAGCAGTGACACCAGCAGCCGCCACAAACTGCCACACAAGGTCCTGAGGTCCCTGTTTCCAATCCCAAGCCCGTAGCAAGTCACACAGTGGGGGAGGCGTGGTACCAGACTGGGGCACATATTGAACTTGGGGTCTGCGAACACTCTGGAATTCTTGCAAGATTGTACGTGTTGGTGCATTGGTCTGGGAAGAGTGTCCCTAGCTCCTTCAGGGCTCAAAATGCTCGGGGACTTGAGGCTGAGAACCACAGGGGTCGAAGATCCCAAGTCTCCTCCAACTCTAGAGCTCAAGGCCTACCCGAACCCACCTGGGAGGCGGGGGGGCTGCCTCTCAGTGGCTGCTCATTCCCTTTCTGAACATCACCACCTCCACACTGGAGGAGCCAACTGGAAAGGAAACACAATTTGGGAGAAAGAGCCACTTCTTTGCACAGATCCAGCTCGACATTCCTCTAAAGAGCCTCAGGGTCCTAGAAAACAGCCTCTGTGTCTCATGGACATTTGGACACCTGGGCTCCCCTCTCACACCGCCCAGGGTCCATGACCATTTCTGGGAGAAGCCCTGATTCGTATGTTCCAGGCAACAGGACAGGTCTCCAGGCCCCTCGGGCAGGCCCATCGCTGACTCGGGAGACTCGGGAGAGACCCGTGGACCTCACCCACAAACCAGAGGTCAAGGGAGCCTGACACAGGCGCTGGAAGGCAAGTTATCCTGCTGCTTTCACAGAAAAGGGGCAAGTCTGATTAACCCCATCCTGCCCCCCATCAGCCCTTCTAGTCCTGTCACTACAAAACGTGTCAGGCCGCAGACAAGACCAACATTTCCCAGGAAATGCTCCCTGTCTCAAGAACCCCGAGAGGCCACAGGAACTTATCTGCTCTCCAAAAACCAGGGAGAAGTTCAGCCTCAGGATGTGCAATCACACTCAGTTTCAGAGAGGCTGGAGGAGCAGTAGAACCTTCTTACTATCTGGTGTGCGCAATGGGATACGAGGGTCTGGAAAATCCATCATTCTGTTTGAAAGCAACAGAGTTTCCATAGAGGCCATCCGCTGGTTTCCCATTTTCAAAAGACAGAGAAATACACATTGCTGAAGTTATACCATGCATAATGTCATCTTTCTTTAATGATTCAATTCAGAGAAGAAACCTAGGGATCCAGCAGCATCTCAGGCACTGTTCTGGATGCTGTATGGAAAAGAAGGCAAGAGCAGTAGCCCCACGTCTTCCAAGTCCCCAAGCCCCTGCTTCCTTCTCCCTTCCTTCTCCCTGCACAGCGCACACCTTGGGAACACACTCCACGGTAACAGCTCACCAGATACAAAAGGTGTGAGGAGGGTGCTACAAAATCCTGCAGGGATGTGCGTCTGATTAGATTTTGGAAGCGCCTACAAGGAAGGCGCTCCTGCAGCGTCTTTCATTAGAGACAGAGAAACTTTAGAAAGGCCACCTGAGGTCCCCCCTCCTGGGTCTGTGGTGGACTCCACACAGAGGAGGACTATGGGACCTGGACATGGTCACCCCCCAAAGCTGGGCCAAGACAACTTGTTTGGTGATGCAGGAGACGCACCTTCCTGCCTCTCTCTCTCTCAACAAAATCCATGGAACAGGGGGCTCACTTCCCTCAAAAGAAAGTGAAGGAGGAAAACAAGCCAGAGACGTGGATGACAGCATCCGCCCAGGGCAGCCCCAAAGCAAAGGGGACTGGCCAGATCTGCAACGTCAGTCCCTAACCAACGGGACAGGGACAGGAACAGGCTGAAGGCAGAGTGCTGGCCGCCTTCTGAAGTTCCTGCAGCCAGGTACTCCCATAGGAAACCAAGTCAGCTCCCCCCTTCCCTTCTCTTCACTGTTCAGCAGGGACTCCTGGCTGAGCACCTGTCCAAGTAAACCAGGGGAGATAAACGCTGCCTCCTGCCTCAACCGCAATCCAGGATGCCTCCCGGGTGGGCAAATGACCTCGCGACTGGCACCTCACCAGTCCCAGGGCTGTGCCCTTGGACTCCCCCCTGGGGAAACTGACGACTGCGCATTCCTTGAGGACCCTTGGTGACTGCCAGTGGATGGAGAGGAAGAAAAGCGCCCTGGCCCAGACTAGGCATCCCTCCCCGCATCCGCTCCCACCGCCCATCCCTGGGACCTGCCTCCCTCTCCGCGTGTGGAGGAGAGAGAAGCGGGGACATTATTCCAACAGGTCCCCTGCAGCCGGGCCTCACTGGGCCAGCCTTCCTCCGCCCCGCCCCGAGGCCTCAAATTCAGCGGGAGCGCCGAGGCACCTGCTGCCAGACCAGCTCCATCCCCGCGAGAGGGGGCCCTGGGCGGTGCCCTCGGCGCTCCGGGCCTGCTC